GATTCAGTGTGGGGGGGGGGGGGAGCGTGCAGATCTGTCCTCGCAGAGGAGGGAGAGCTTGTACCTGAATAAAACTTGGTCTTAAAGGTGCCACTGGACTGTTTTGGACTGGGAGATGGGGTGGGGGGGCTCTGCAACTTACCTGGCTGCTTCTTGCTCTGACTGAGGACTGCTGGGAGCAGGGGGCGGGGCTTGTTGCATGTGCCCGCCCCCTGGGCGCTTTACTGCCGGAGCTCCGCTCCTGTGCGCTCCTGCAGGAAATGACCCCTGTATCTATCCATAACAAAAGGGCTTAGACGATTTTTAAAAAGATACCTGGTAACTTGGAGAACCTTATAGGCGCATAGTTAGAATGTCACTACAGCGTAATTGCTGGGTTTTTAAAAATTAAAAAAAAATCCCCCAAAGCACTTCGAAAGCATTGTGGAGAACGTCAGCTCACGCCTCCCAAAATATTAGAACTGGGGAAAGGGAACCCTATGAAGTTGATGGGCATCGGATTCAGGGCAGACAAAAGGAAATACTTCTTTATTTGTTCAATTTATACCCCGCCCTCCTCCCCGCCAAGGCAGGCTCATGGCATCTTACATAAAAGGCATATATAAAAATACAGTTAAACATACATAAGCAATCAATTATTCACTTTCCTAAAGTGCCGGATCAATTAAAGTGCAAGAGCAAATTTCCTAGGTGGTTGAGTGGAATGTGGGAAAATGTTAAATTTGCGGCCAGAGGATGTTGTGATGGCCACAGGAATAGACAGCTTTAAAAGAGGATGGGACAGATATATGAAGGAGAGGTCCATCAGTAGCTGGCTACTAGTCATGATGGCTAAGGAGAACCTCCATGTTCAGAGGCAGTAAACCTCTGAATCCCAGTGCCAGGTGGCAGCATCAAGAGAAGGCCTCAGCCTCTCTGCCCTGTTGTTGGCTCTCTGGGGCAACTGGTTGGCGGCTGTCTGAGGCAGGATATTGGACTACCTGAACCATCGGTCTGATCCAGCAGGGCTCTTCTGATGAATTTAATATGCCCAGAGACTACGACACAAATTCCTCCTCTCTCCGTTCCTACCAGTTTCAAAGATCTTGGCCTTCGGACCCGCCGTGCAGCCCAACCCATCTCTTGTTCCACGCACCACCCCATTGCCTCTCTGTTCTTCCCATTCCTTGCATACCCCGTTGCCTCTCGTGTCCTCCAGCTGTTCGTGACTGTAGTTACCCTGGACAGTCTTTGTCCTCGCCATAATTCCAAAATAGGAGCTGTGTTAGTCGGCTGGTGCGAAGTAAAACAGGATTCAAGTAGCACCTTTAAGACTCAAGAAGTGAGGTCTGACGCACGAAAATGTATGCTCAAATGTAAACTGGGTTGCTCTTAAAAGATGCCACTCGATTTGCTCTACAGGGCACTAAAGGGGGCCTCCGTATTCAGAGGCAGCCAGTTTCTGAATACTGGTGGCTAGGAGGCAAGTCCGGAGGAAGGCCTCCCCACCCCAGCCCGCCCCCGTGCCCTGTTTGGCCCTCTGGGGCAACCTGTTGGCCTTTGTGTTTAGTTACGCTTAAGAGCAGTCCTGGACTTGTGGTTTTAAATTTTGGGTTTTGTGTTTTTAAAATATTTTATTCTTTGTGGTTTTAGACATGTTGTAAGGAGCTGCGGTGGCTCAAGTGGTTAAGATGCTGAACTGCCGGCTGTGGAAGGTCAGTAGTTCAGCAGTTCGAGACCCGGGTGCCGCCTGATGGAGTGAGCTCCCATCTCTAGTTCCAGCTCCTGCCAACCTAGCAGTTCGAAAGCGAGAAATTGCAAGTAGATAAATAGGGACCACTTCGGTGGGAAGGTAACAGCGTTCCGTGCGCCTTGGTGTTTAGTCATGCTAGCCACATGACCACGGAAACGTCTTCGGACAGCGCTGGCTCTTCGGCTTTGAAACGGAGATGAGCACCGCAACCCTAGAGTCGGAGTCGACTGGCTTACGAGCAAGGGAACCTTTACCTTTAAGGAAGAAAACTGGCTAATAAATGTTTTAATAAAGCCGCCGTCAAACACACACACACACCGGTGCAGCCCAGTCTGACTCACAGGGGACCTTTCCTCGTTGCAGGTGCCGGTGAAGTGTGAGGAGACGACTCTCCAGTTGGGCCCGGAGCGGTGGAAGGAGGGGCCTGTCCCGGAGGACGCCATGCGGGAGAACTTCGGTTCCACAATTGCTCTTGGTAAACCATCACGCACACCGCTTTCTGACCGCTTTGGCCTCAGAGAAGAGGGCTGGGCTGGGGGGGGGGCATCGCCCTATGGGATGGGCGTGCTGTGCCCGGAGCAGCTCTGGTTCTTCCCAGAGAGACCTTGGGAGTCAAAGAGACCCGGCTGCTGAGAGGACAGATCTTTGCACCTGGATGGAAAGGAAACCAATGCCAGCATGCATTTGATGTCAGTGGGCTGAGATGTCATGGCCAGTCTGTCCTTCTGCCTTCCCAAAGAGGAGAGGGTGACAGAATGGTAGCCAAGTTGCACACAAGCACCCTTTGTGTTTCCTGGGCCCCACCCTGGGCTGGGTGCCGCTCCCGCCCACAATTCGAAAATGGCTGACTGTCCCCGCTTTCCATAATGCTGGGAGAAATAGCCCACTTTAGTTCTCTGGCCCCTGGGGAAATGGGGGATGCAACCCAAGGCACCTCTTTCCAGGGAAGGGGCCTCTCCTGTCTGGGGACGGGATGCTGGGCGATTTATGTTCCTGTGTGACTCAGAGCAGAGGACCGGGGCTAAGGTTCCCCTGCTTCCTAGTGGCCTGCCTGCCCCCCACCCGGCCTGGCCTGCGGTGACTGGGGTGGGATGTCACCCAGCCAAGTCTTCCTTCTGTCTTGCAGGGTCCCCCGCTGCCAAACCTGAGGTTATCGCCCAGGCTGAGGAAGGCAGCCCGGCTCCCGTCAAGGCTAAGGGGGGAGCAGAGACCAGGGACCCCCCAGGAGACAACCATGCAGGTCAGCAGGGAGTAGCCCCCTTCCTCCCCCCTCCCTCCTCCCTCCCTCCATCGCTTTGACTTCTCCCCCCCCAATCCTCCCTCTCTCCATCTCTGCCTGTCTGTCTGTCTTTTTGTCTGTTTGTCTCTGTCTCCCCCCCTCACCCTCCTTCCTTCCTTCCTTCCTTCCTTCCTTCCTTCCTTCCTTCCTTCCTTCCTTCCTTCCGCGAGTTTCAGTGTGAACCGAGAAGCCAGAAAGAGCAGCTTGGCGAGGAGCGACAGCCTCCTGTAGTGGCAGGTGGGAGAGACAGAAAGAGCTGCCTGCAAGGAGGCAGAAGGGGGGTCCTGGCGAGTTGCCCCCCCAGCAGCCTCTGTGGCTGAATATAGGATCCTGAGGCCTGCCACTCTGAACTATTGCTGATGAAAGGAACTTGTAAATATAACCAGCAATGCTTGGTGTCACAGTCTCTCAAACTCCCAAAACTCCACTCTGACAGGCGTAGACACTCAGTCTAATCTCTCTCTCTCTCTCTCTCATCTATATAGCCACACAGGCTGAACGCTTTGTCTTATTCACACAGAATAGACTCAAAAACTCCCATAGTCACACAGACTATGCTCTCTCTTCAAACTTCACACACAGAATCACTCTCATAGACATCTCTCCTCCCACACTCTCAGTCATCAGCCAATCCACATCACACTTGTCTCCCTCTACCACCCTCCTTGCATTACTGCAGTCAAACTAAACATTTAAAGAAACACACAGGCCAAAAATGGAATCATTACAGCCGCTAAGACATGAACAAATGTTACACACGTTTTAATTGAAAAACATGCAAATTTGCTTTTTATTAACATTAAACTAGACCGTATGAGGGAGCCGCATGTGGCTCCCAAGCAGCAGTTTGGCCACCCGTGGGCAAGAGGTCTGATACCGAGGTCCCCCAATGTTTTTGAGCCCGTGGGCACCTTAGGAATTCTGACACAGGGTGCTGGGTCGAGCCACAAAATGGCTGCTGCCGCTGACCTTCAGCCACACAGCAAAGATCCACGTTCTGTGCGGGTAGCTGCCGCCCAGGTAACATCTTTTAAAATCTGCAGGGCCCATTAGAAGCCCTGCTGGACACAGTCCCCAACTGAGGTCTCCGAGGGCGCTTGCCCACCAGTGTCGGGGGGGGGACTGGGGCAGTGGGCACCAGCTTGGCCAAGCCTTCCTCCAGGTTCCTAAAGGTGACTGCAGAGTCGACAAGGCCCCGAGTCTGAGGCTTTGCAGTTCTCCTCTCTGCTCTGCCGTGGCAGACACCGACTGAGCACTCAATCTTTCCTCTTCCTCCGCCCCGTCCTTTCCCTGGCTCAACAGGAACTCGACCTCTGGAAACTGAGGGCCCTGTGAGGAGCGAGCAGCAGCCACCCGGGGAACCGCTGAGAGTGCCCGGAGATGCCAAAGGCCCTGAGAGAAGTTGCCCAGGTAAGGGCCTCACCCTCACCTGTCGCTGGGGGGGGAGCTGCATTCTGAGTGAACAGCCAGCGCTGAGGCCCAAAACCCTCGCTCGGGGGAAGGCCTCGTCACCTCCTGAGCCTAGAGGCCTCTCCTACCTCCGGCTGGTTCTGTGTCCTGGAGGTTCAAGGCGCCTCCTGCTCCCTGGCTTTCCAGTTGGTCCGGCTCTTCCTGAACTGTTAGAATGGGGGGGGGGTCCCCAACCTTTTGGAACCTGTGGGCACATTTGGAATTTTGACACAGGGTGGTGGGTGCAGCCACAGAATGGCCGCTGAACTGCAGGCTGTGGAAGGTCAGTCGTTCAGCAGTTCGAGACCCGAGTGCCGCATGACGGAGTGAGCCAGTTTGGTGTAGTGGTTAAGTGTGCGGACTCTTATCTGGGAGAACCGGGTTTGATTCCCCACTCCTCCACTTGCACCTGCTGATGTGACCTTGGGTCAGTCACAAGCTCTGGCACAGCTGTCCTTGAAAAAGAGCAGTTTCTGTCAGAGTTCTCTCAGCCCCACCCACCTCACAGGGTGTCTGTTGTGGGGAGGGGAAGGGAAAGGAGTTTGTAAGCCCCTTTGAGACTCCAAGTGAAGGGCGGGGTATAAATCCAATCACTTCACTCACTTCACTTCACTCTAGTTCCAGCTCCTGCCAACCTAGCAGTTCGAAAGCAAGACATTGCAAGTAGATAAATAGGTACCACTTTGGTGGGAAGGTAACAGCGTTCCGTGCGCCTTAGAGTTTAGTCATGCCGGCCACATGACCACGGAAACGTCTTCGGACAGCGTTGGCTCTTTGGCTTGGAAAGGGAGATGAGTACCGCATCCCTTGAGTCGGATTCGACTGGCTTTCGAGCAAGGGAACCTTTATCTTTACCTTAAAGAGCTCAACATTCAGCATAAATACAAAGAGAAGGAATTCTTTCCCCTTCTTTTTTCTGTTCCTATAAACATGCATAATTAATGTATAATTACAATATGATTACAGTATAGAGAGAGGTTTATTTAATTTCATCCCATAATCTGAGGAAGGGCTTAAACATCCTTTGGGTATTGTTCTGAGTTGTGTATAAAATAAAATTGTGCCACGTTTCAAAAAAGTCTTACCGTTTTGGCTTTGGATTTGATTATTCTAATTTGATTTGTTAATTTTTCAGCTATTGCAATCTGCCATAACTCAGAATACCGTGAGTTTCATGTTGATAATTCTGCGGCATCCCAACTTTTAGCAACTATTTATTTATTTATTTATTATATTTATACCCCGCCCATCCTGTGAACAGGCTCAGGGTGGCTAACATGGGCGGTACAATGTACCTAATTAGCATAACCATAAAAATTTAAAACTCCATAAAATACATACTAATTCATATCACATAACAGAATAACAATTAACAATAAAGTGCTTGCAGTGCTGACAGGTTAGATGGTGCGCTCTACAGATCTAAGTCCACGTTGTCCATCTGGTCATCCTCCCTCGAGCAAATACAGGCCTGGCGATGCATCTGGGCCCATCCTAAGTTCCAGAAGTTCAATGGAATCATTGATGGCAACAGTGGTGGTGGCGGCTCCTATTTAAAAGCCTGGTGGAAGAGCTCCGTCTTGCAGGCCCTGCGGAACTGTAAAAGGTCCCGCAGGGCCCTGATCTCCTCCGGGAGCTCATTCCATCAGTAAGGACCCACCACAGAAAAGGCTATCCTGTACGCTGCCATTAACATAAACACTATTGGTCCTTTAGAAGTCACCTTTTCATTTTGTTTCTCCCATATTGTTAATAGGGTGTAACACAGAGGGCTTGATGTGTAATTTTTGCAATTTCTGCAAAAAAAAATTCTCCCAGAACTGTGACACTACTGGGCACAGCCACCACATATGAATATAATCACCTTGCTGATTACACTTTCTCCAGCATTTTTTATTATTTGTGTTTGTTATTCTCGCAAGGCGAACTGGGGTGAAATACCACCTGTGTAATAATTTCAAGGAGTTCTCTCTAAGAGCGATTGATGTGGTTTTCCTTATTTGGGTAAACCATATCTTATTCCAGATATTTTGCTCGATCTTTATTCCAATGTCTTTCTCCCATGTTGTTTTCAACCCATTTAGTGAACCTGAATCTGTCTCCCAGACGCCCATCCTGATTTCCCCCTCTCTCTCTCTCTCTCTCTCTCTGTGTCCTCCTGGATCCCCGCAGGTGAGTGGCTGATCCGGACGGTGAAGGTGGAAGCCGAAGACTACTCGGAGTGGCCGGCTGGGCTGAGCGCAGAGGTGCTGTTCTCGGGGCTGCCTGTCGGGGGCGTCTGCAAGTCGGAGGGCCTGCATGTGGGGGAAGGGTACGGTGCCCACGGGGGCCTGGGCGAGCTCTCCGGCCTGGCGCTGCAGCAGTGGCAGATGCTGAACGAGGAGAAGCCACTGGGCTGCCCCCGGTGCGAGCACCCCGGAGCCCCGCAGGAGGGTGGGCAGGGAGACCCTCGGCCGCGCCCCTTTGCTTGCTCCCAGTGCGGCAAGGCCTTTGGGAAGAAGGCCCACCTGACCCGGCACGCCCGGGTGCACACCGGAGAGCGCCCCTTTGCCTGCACCCACTGCGGCCGCCGCTTCTCCCAGAAGATCCACCTGGGCTCTCACGAGCGTGTGCACACGGGGGAGCGGCCCTTCCCCTGCGACCGCTGCCCCAAGACCTTCCGCAAGAAGACCCACCTGGTGCGCCACCAGCTGACCCACACCGGGGAGCGCCCCCACGCCTGCCCCCTTTGCTCCCGGAGCTTTGTCCATCGCCGCCACCTCTTGCGGCACCAGCAGCTCCACGAGGAAGGGAACGCAGCCTACAGGGACCACGCAGAGCCGGGGCAGGGGTCGGTCCCCTACAGCCACAACCTCCAGCCTGGCCAGGACGCAGAACCCCACAGGGAGCAAGCAGGACCTGGGCAGACCACGGCCCCTTTCGCGGAACCAGGACAGACCGCCACTCCCTGCAGGGACCAGAGGGAACTGGGACAGGTGGCCCCACCGTACAGGGAGGAGACTGACCCGGGGCAGGTTCTCGCCGCCTGCATGGGACCGACGGAACCGTTTCTGGGTCCGCCCCTTTTTAAGGTTCTAGCTGAGCCAGAACTGGGCCGAGTCCCTTGCATGGACCTTCCCCGGCAGAGAGAGACCCTGGCTCCCGGCATCGCCTGCCCTGAGCAGGGGCCCCTCGGCATGCTGTGCGGGGCGCAGGGGGAAGCCGGGGGCAGCGCACTCTGCAGGGAACAGGTGAGCAAGACGGAACCGGAGGAGGAGGAGGCTGGCTCCTGCTCGCTGCCCGAAGAGAAGCCCTTTCTGTGCTCTGACTGCGGGAAGGCCTTTGCCTGGAGGAAGAATTTGGCTTCCCACCAGCGGCTCCTGCGGAGGGCTGGCGCCCTTTTTCTTGCGCCGAGTGCGGGAGGGGCTTCAGCGATAAGCGCCACCTGACAGCGCACTTGCGTGGGCACATGGGCCTTCTGCCGTACGCTTGCCCACACTGCGAGAGAAGCTTTGCACACCGGGCCGGCCTGGCGGCCCACCAGTGCGGGGGCCACGTCGGGAAGCGCCCCTTTGCCTGCGGGGAATGCGGCCGTTGCTTCGCCCACAAGCGGCACCTGCAGAGACATCGGCGCAACCAGCACTCAGCCGAGCGCCCCTTC